AACTGGTAAACATGAAAATATTAAAACGTCGATTAAAGCCACTAAAAGCCACCAAAAGCGCTGAGTTTATCAAGTAAACCTACTGGTCTACTGGTGGCACGTCATGGAGCATGTGTAGGAAAAAGATTTTGTACCAATTTAATGTTGATAACCGATCTCAAGAACTCGGGTTGTGGCAACTAAACTGAACCGGTTTCTATGTTATTTTTTGCTCCTATCATTTTATTTATTTTTAAAATGTTTTCTGTTCTTTGAAGTAACAAACAAAAGCGTTAAGGAGTTTTTTCTGGTGTCTTTTGTGTCTTGCTGAAAGAACCAACCAAGTCAAGTAACAGCTACTTTACATACGCTTGAGGCCACGAGCATAAATATTGCTACCGATTATGTACATAAATATGTAGAATTTGCGGTGTTACAAACGTTTAAAAGCCTAAATGTACCATACCTTTTGGGCTTAAACGGTTTGTTAATTATTGCCAGTTCAATATGACAAAAACGGTGCTAGAAATTATATAACAAAAAATATTTATGTATTGTTTTTAACTGTTTTTATAATTGCATTATTTGCTTAACTGGAAACAGTAAAAATTATTTTACTTAATTACTCATTACTTAATTATCTTATCTTATATAGGTTATTTTTTCGTCAGTGTGTTTAGTATTCTTTTTCTTAATAGGAAAAGTATTCTTAGTATTCCTTATTACACAGAATGGTCTAATTAAAATGCAGTTACCTATAAACTTTTACAATAATCGAATTCGCAACAACATATATCTATATCTAATTACATATGTCTATATTTCGCCTTATGACAGCTAATGTTCTCTGATTTAATTGAAACGTAATACTGTTACAGCGCTACATTTGATTGGGAGTCCAAACTGCACTGTTGTTAGAGACCTCGAATATTTTAATATAAATAAATTGTTCGTGTCTTGAACTAAAGCATGTTCGAAACTAACACATTCTTGAAACGTTGTAGTGGTGGTCGATAAATATTTCAGACACGTTTCGGAAAGTTAAGTTTCGATTTTAAAGAACTCCTTGTTATATTAAAGGGCAAACAGCTAAACACATAAAAAATTAGATTTTAAAAAAATAATCAAAAACAAAGTTAAAGTCTTACAAATTAAACTTTACTTTATTAAGAAAGGAGAAAATTCTCCCGATGTTTAGGATAAATTAAATCAAAGATCTTCTGCTCTGCTCTGATGATAACAAATCTTAATTGTTTAGTTTACTAATTAAAGACGATGCGCAAAAATACAGATATCGATTAGCCACAAAAAGCTAAGTATGATCGTTTGAAAAGTTTAAAATGGCCATGATTTTAACAAGTCCCTGCAATAACGAAAAACCAACCATGTGAAAGTTTGAAAAATATTTAGACACTATTGTCAATAAAACATTTAAGTGGTATAGAAATATAGAAATAGAAAATAAATAAACAAATTAATAAATAAATGAATAAATAAGTAAATATATAAATAAAACAAAAATTTTTATAGAATGTAAGTTTCAACAATTTTCTCCAACGTGCCAACTAACAACGGTTCACATTTTATTTGAAACGCTAAGTGGCCTCTACGGTCGGTAGATTAAAACCCGCTTAAATGTTCAATATGGGGTGTCTTGTAAGCTAAGGTCAGTTCTAAAAATGGATCTTATATATTATTGAATGAAGGTTTCGCAGGTTTAGATTTGTACAAAATGTGTCTCGTTTGTCAGCCGACTAAGACAAGACCTATGACTATCTTCCAAAATATTAATATTAAAAATATTATCTTCCAAAATATTTATTATTGGTTCAATATAATTCAATGTCAAATAAAAAAATACAACTTTTAAAAAAGCTGCACTTCAAATAGTTCGTTCGCTCTGTTCATATGTATGCAGTAATTCATTTGTAAACCTAATAAGCAATAATCTTGCTTACTACAAAAATTGTTTTTCTTCTGAAAACGAAATGTGCTATCTTCAGTATTCAGTCAGTATTTTAAGGACCCAGCATAATCAGCATATTCTACTGTCTACAACCAGTTCTTTGGCCTGAAATTCGTTTACTTTTAAGTATCTTTAGCGTATTGTTTTTCCTTTTTAATTATCTTCAAAATTAATACTTCAGAACAAATTTTAATGACACATAATTCCTTGCCAAGTAAACGCCTTCCTCTTCTTTATCTTCATTCCGAAATATCAATTTACTCTTTTCGAAATCCATTTCGTTTGTGTCTACTGAAAACTCTCATTATCAATCATAACTTTTTAGCCTAATTATCTTTTATGTGTACACTTTCTGACTTTTTATGGACAGACATATTTCTAGCACAATTCCTACATTCTGTTGCATATTTTACCAACTTTTCACATACTGAGTGAAAAAGAAATATGAAGAACTCTTGGAAAAAAAAAAAAAGAACAACAAAAACAAACTCATTAACTATCAGTAATCAAATCAACAAACAATTTCTGTTCTAAAAAAAGGAAGGGAGAAACGCATAAGGGAAAAAGATTTTAACACTGCGTGCTAGCTGGCTTCCAACTGACCTTAACCTATGTTTCAATAGCCATCAATCAGTCCGCTATTCTTCTTCCTTTGATTTTGTGCCTTTTTATGTGTTTAAACGTTTTCTTTTTGTTTTCCAGTTTTTTCCGTTTCCTTTTCTTTTTTTGTTTCTGTTACTTCGTCTGTTTTTCTCTTTCGTCGTTTTGTCTTTTTGCACAGCAAAACCCTTAAGAAATCAACAGCAATTTAACAATATTCGTAACTCAGCATTCGCTTGGCTTAGAAAATCCATTGAGAGTTGTTACCTCGTTCCTGTCTTTGGACGTTTTAATTGTTTATGATGAGCGTTTGGAAAAAAGTTATAAACACAATAGAATGTGATTTTGTGACCGAAGATTATAGTGCGCTTGGTCAGGTTGGGACGTTCAACTGCTACACACATAAGACTTCAAGAGTTAAGACAGATTTACACTGAAAAAAATTATGACTACGAATTTTGATATTAAAAGAAAATTTTAGTGTATGCATATATTGTATATAAATATATATGTGCTTTTTATATAATTAAGATTTTGTATGAAAATTTATATAATTATCGATTTAAGCAAAATTTATTATAAACCCATTAAATTATTATTTTCTTATTACAAATTTGTAAATAAATATATATGTGTTTTTTTTTAAATAAAATTCTGTATGAAAATTTATATAATTATCGATTACAGCAAAATCTATTATAAATCCATTAAACCCATTGTTTTCTTATTACAAATTGTTCTTGAACATATATTAAATATAAAATAATTATTTTTATGACAATATCTGAAACCAGATCATAAGTAAACATTTTTAATTGGGGAATAGTTAAATAGAAGATAGATAGATACACGAAAAATAACATACGGAGAATAGACGGAATCTACTAGAAAGAAAATCCAAATAATTGACGAAAATAAAAAATTATTCGGCATAGTTCTTTAGGGTCTCTCACATTAAAAATGATAATGATTAGAACAAAAAATATCAGGGATATTAATATTGCTAACAACTGACTCTTACCAAGAATAAGTTATTCAGTCTTTCGAATGAAGGGTATAATATTTGTTGTCAATGGTTTGCTATTATTGAAATAGGTAAAAGATATGACTGACTATTAAAATAAAGGTACAAATATTCAAATTTAGCTTTACTTCGAAGTTTTTTCATTTTTCATACGTTTACAACACTGTTATTATTGCGTGTGAAAGATAATTCGGTATATGGTGTAACATGTGAAGTTATGTTCAAAAAAATGAAAAAATTTCAAAGCCTTATATCTCAAAAACCTATTTCAAAAAAATTTTTTTCATAATATTTTTTTTAATTTAGTGGGAAGAATATCTGGGAAAACTATAGTGGCATTAAATATTTTTGAATTTTCTCTTGTTAACTGGTATCGGACATTTTGATATATGCTTTAAATTATGCCAAACACTCAATACTTTACTGAATTGTTAACATTGAAGATGTTAAGGATTGATTTCTTTAGTATAAGCACTATAAGAGGATGTAGTAACTATAAGAAAAATTATATATTGTTTTGTGATTTGTGTTTTGTGATTTGTGTTTTGCATTGTGATTACATTAGGTTGCATTTATAATTATAGTTTTATTTGAGGCACCTATTGTAGGGTATTCACCTATCTAATATTTCAAATATTAGTTGAAAAACTTTATTGCTATTAACTTTATGAAGTTTAAATGGTAATTCGATAACAAGAATAACAACTTTATAGTTCTTACTTTTTATTATAATCTGATCATTT